AATTTAAAATTGCAAGTTTTGAAACAGTAACTTTTACATAGCTAGCTTTTTTTAGCTTTTCGCGTTCTCTCCTCTAGGAAGATTGGTTTGCTTCTTTTTTGCGACCTCTTCCACTAGGCACCGAAACTACAACGTTTTCTTGCAGTTTTCTAAGTTCATACAAAGAGGAGACATTTGAAAGTGTATAAATAAGTATAATAGCGACTTTCGCAAGAGTAGTTAACATTTCATGCTATTTTTTTCAGAATATAGAAAAATTTTTCACTCTGCTGTTAGTGGACATGAAACCCACCAAAAACTAAAAATCTAAAAAAATTTACATAGCGCACTTTGCAAGTGGACTACTCAATTGTTGAATATGCTATCTTATTTGTCCCTTCTTTTTATACAATTAAGGAGCGGCTGAATGGTTTAACGATGTTAGCGGTACATAATGATGTGCCGATTACAACACAAGAAGTAATTGAAAAAATGTGTGTTAAGCAACGAAGATTAAAAATCGCTTTATAAGTAATAAGATTTTGTAGACTTGTACTTAAATAAATGTAAATAGATACGAGTAAATATATAAATATGCAGATATATTCAATGTGTAAAAACTGAAGTGTATACTAACGAAACTTCTACAAAACTAAACTGGACCACACACTAATTAATTAAAATGGTGTAGCAATTTAATTTTTTAAATTTAAATAAAACATGAATTCCCCAGGAAATAACCGAGTAGACAAAAAATATATAACGGTAGAAATGGCACTTACATACATATATGAAAGAATGCCCACAGGCGACGCACTATAGGCAAAACACGGAGTTTGTTTTTCAAAATCGGAGATCTTCGCTTAGAAAAAAAATAATGGAATGCAGCATTTAACCCTTTAATGTAGAGTCTGTCATATATGAAACGCTTTTTAACCATTCTCATGTTGACGTAGATATTGATCGTAGAAAATTTTTCCATAGTAAAATAATATTAAAAAAATAAATAAATAAAAAAAATAAAAATATTAAAAATAAATAAAAAATAAAAATAAATAAAAAGTACGTTGAAAACATATTGAGAACCATTTTGTCTTTGCCTTGAAAGGGTTAAAAAGTGTTTCATATATGACAGACTCTGCATTAAAGGGTTAAATGCTGCACTTTCGTAAATATATCGACCAGTATAACCATTTTTGTTATACAAATTTTTTTGTGAAAGCTGATAGTTTACGAGTTATTAGAGTTTAAAGGTAGCTTTTCCTTTTTCCAATCTGGCCACTCGGGTACAGCATCCAATGTCCCAAGAATCGAGTCTTAAGATAAAATAAAGAGAAATCTTTCAGAAACAGTGCTAATGGTGTATTAAATATAGTGTTTTCTAGTGGAATGGGAGCCTAAATCCAAAATTAAAAAAAGTGACATTTTGAACGGTATTTTGAGGGTTAAGTTATTGTTGTTGTAACTTCTCTAAAGTTTTCCTATATTATATGATCATTTATCTTCACGATAAAAGAGTTTTCATTCTATTATCTCTTTTCCAAGCGAAGATCTACGATTTTGAAAAAAAGCTCGTGTCGTCGTATCACAACTTTAAGTTATCGATGCAAATTTTTTTTACTCCCCCCCTTCGCCAAATCCTGGCTACGCCACTGCAATAGGGTAATTACCTTTTTTCGTCATCTAGATCATCAAGCATGGAAAACAATGGCGCAGGATTCTTTCCGTACACTTTTGGATACTCTTCTGGTAAACGTGGATTATTGCCTTGGTACAGCTCAAAATTTACAAGGTATCCTTGGGGCGTATTGAAGCACCACATTTTGTATCCAAAACGCAACGGTTTCCCCCTAATAAACTGCTTACAACCGTGCCGACCGAAATACTCCGTAGACTCATCGTAAGATAGATCTTGTTCAGGATGAAAATGTGTGAGGCATCGGTTTTTCACTGCATCAGTAATTGGACGGATTTTCCAAATTTTGTCCTCCCGATCTTCCAAGCTGCTATCTTTGAAGTGCATATAACTATAAATGATTTCGAACCTATTACGTCGCATGCTTTCGCTAACCATGGAGCACAGCATATCTGAATCTTTGCACCAATAGTCTTTTTTTTTTGGTCGAGATGTCTACCCAGTGACAATCATAATACCATAAATACCTTCATCTCATTTATGGTAATCTTGGAATTTTGACCTTCTACTTTAACCGAGTAAGCATTGGATTCATCACATAACATCTGTAGGACCTCATCATCAATAAACTTTTCAAATTGCTGATGTGGCAAAAGCTCGGAACAATCTGTGTAATTTGGCTCAGGGAAAAAAGGTTTTGATTTACCAGCGATGCTATCAACCCAAGTTAACTGTTGTGTCCGCACTTTTTGTGTTTTCGCTCGAGCACCGTTTCGTTTCGAAGTATTTTGTCTCTTTCTGTTGCTACTACGCACTGAAATTTTATCAGGCGTTTTGTTAGACGTACGCATAGTTGATTCTTCTTCCAGAATTTCAGGTGGTCGCTAAATTGATGAAGATGGAGATTCTGTCAATAAATTTGTTCCAATGTTTTGAAAGGAATTTTGAATAACATCTTCAACTAAATTGGCAATATCGTCATCCGTGTTATTCAGTGCATCATCTACAGGTATGCCATCTTCGTTGGTATTACAGTATATTTTGCTTTGCTGCCTTTGTGCTTAAGTGCACATTTAAGATATCTACCCCAAAATGCGCATCAGCGGCATTATTTTTAACATTTATAAGGAAATTGCATTCAATATACCTGCACATTAGCGATACCTGCCCTAAAAATTTTCAACTATTATCAATTATCAAAGAAAATATTACGTTTACCTGCACTGGCTCTAAACTTACCCTAATTTTACAAACTTTTATTTATTTTGCCCATCTCGCAGTATAACGAAAACGGCTATCATTTTATGTAGTTATATCAGTGGTGCACACGGGAGTCTCCGGGAGCTACTCGGCTTTCACATACAAGTCGTGTGTGCGCAGCTACCGAACTTATGTGCCGCTAGCAGCCGGTCAGTTTGCGTTTGTACTTCATGCTGTAAGAATCACATGCGCGAGCTGTTTTGCTGAGTACACACTGGTGACAGGTAATAAGGTCAATGGAAATAAGGTCAATTGACTTTATTTCCCACCCTGGTGCGAAATAAAGTCAATTGACATTATTACCTTTTCAAAAGCGAAATAAATGCTTAAAGTATGTCGATTCATAGAAAAAAATGTTGCTCTTACAATAAACATTACCCCGTAAATATTGTTTTTTAATAGATGAAAAAGGTTATTGCCAAATTCTCAGTGTTGTGATATTAATCCCCACANTATTCAGTGCATCATCTACAGGTATGCCATCTTCGTTGGTATTACAGTATATTTTGCTTTGCTGCCTTTGTGCTTAAGTGCACATTTAAGATATCTACCCCAAAATGCGCATCAGCGGCATTATTTTTAACATTTATAAGGAAATTGCATTCAATATACCTGCACATTAGCGATACCTGCCCTAAAAATTTTCAACTATTATCAATTATCAAAGAAAATATTACGTTTACCTGCACTGGCTCTAAACTTACCCTAATTTTACAAACTTTTATTTATTTTGCCCATCTCGCAGTATAACGAAAACGGCTATCATTTTATGTAGTTATATCAGTGGTGCACACGGGAGTCTCCGGGAGCTACTCGGCTTTCACATACAAGTCGTGTGTGCGCAGCTACCGAACTTATGTGCCGCTAGCAGCCGGTCAGTTTGCGTTTGTACTTCATGCTGTAAGAATCACATGCGCGAGCTGTTTTGCTGAGTACACACTGGTGACTGGTAATAAGGTCAATGGAAATAAGGTCAATTGACTTTATTTCCCACCCTGGTGCGAAATAAAGTCAATTGACATTATTACCTTTTCAAAAGCGAAATAAATGCTTAAAGTATGTCGATTCATAGAAAAAAATGTTGCTCTTACAATAAACATTACCCCGTAAATATTGTTTTTTAATAGATGAAAAAGGTTATTGCCAAATTCTCAGTGTTGTGATATTAATCCCCACAAATCATGAACTACCACCAATTGATTTTATTAAAAAAAATTTTAATTACGAATATGTAAAAACACGATGCGAAAAACTAAACGCCTGCGCACAGCTGGAATACGAGAAATATTTGAAGAAAGAGTGTAGAAATGATCCATAACTTACAAAACATGTTTCGTTTCCACGAAAATAAAGCAAACACTATTAAATTGAAGAAACGGTCCATGTCCAAAAACCCCGGAGGAATACTGAAAGAATTCTGTGTTTTAAATTAGCATATTTTGAACGAATTCGGAATGTCTAAGGTGGAAAAGAAACCAACCTTTCTATAAGGAAACAATTATAGAAAAGGAATTTTCTTACACTGTATTCATGTCTCCGCCAGCAATTTGTGACGACATCATTTAAAAGCAGCTAAGGAGAACGACGACACTATTTATTAGATGCCAAAGTGCGGGTATAAACAATTATTGATTATTGAATATCGGAACCGAGATCATGTAAGCTAATTGATTGGTTTTTACACTCTTTTGAAACACAAGTTATATGCTTGTTTTACTGCAGACAAGTTGTTGCCAAAACGCAGCAGAAATCTTCCAATAACTTACAAATACGCGGCGTAGCGTGACGTGGTGTGGCGCGCGGATGCGGGCCGCCGCAAAGCTAAGCAAACTTAAAGCTTGAAAGAGCAATAATGTCAATGGATTTTATTTCGCTATTGAAAAGGTAATAATGTCAATTGAATTTATTTCGCGCCATGGTGGGACATAAAGTCAATTGACCTTATTTGCGTTGATCTTATTATCTGTTACCTTTATCAATATCTTCATCATCACTTTGTAAACTCTAGGTAATCTAGCATTTCATTCGTATTTTTGGAGTATCTAATAATATAAACAAATCAATATATATACTACCACGGTATTTGGACCAACGTAACTTTTATGTCACAGCAATGAAAAACTTAATCAGACACTACTAAAACACACCAACTTGGTAAGTTTTTTATTTTGCACTATCTGTCTACACTTATTTTTTAGTAATACGACATACATTATGTTTTTTTAGTTGCACGCAAGTAAAAAAATAAATATATACTTACTTTTTGGTCTTTGTCCTTCTCGACATTTTTCATGTTTTCAATTTACACACGAAACCAAACTAACACCAAAGCGTCTATTCACAAGCAAAACTTAACTGGATTGTATTTTAAATTAAATTTGCATTAGCCATTTTTTTTTGTACGGCCAATGAAAAAAGGCTATGCTGTTGTAACGTCTAGGTCACATTGATCCTGAAAGGGTTAAACGACGATACGCATATACATACAAACATATGCACAGGTGAAGAACGGAAAGAAGAAAGACAGACTAGCTTAAACGAGTGGCAGAGACGCTGGGATGCGACCACGAAAGGTAGGTGGAGGCACGTGCAAATCGGTAACGTTCAAGCATCGGTTGAGACGAAACACGGCGAGACTGATTACTATCTAACGCAGTTTCTGACGGGGCACGGCTGTTTTAGAGAATATCTAGACAGTGTTCCTTTTGCGGTAGTACTGGTGAAAACGTGCAGCACATTTTTTTTTCCTGCCCGAAGTATGATGCCGATAGAGCAGACCTAGAAAAGCTGATATACGATCAAGTGGCGCCAGAAAACATTGTGCACCACATGATGCTATCTAGAATGGTATGGAGTAGATTCAAAGCGTGGTCCGCTATAGCTCTTCAGGAACTTAGAAAGAAAGAGTGGCAGCGCTATAGCGATAATAGAAGACTGAACGAGGGGTAGGCCAGAAAGGCGTGTGTGAAGAGCCAATTGGGAAAGCTACGACTTGCGACGTCATACATAACGACGGCCCCGCAAGGCAAAACACAAGCTTCAGACGTCGGAGTTAAGGGTTTGGTACGTGGGCGCGCTGTCTCGCAAGTCCTGAATTAAGTGATAACATAGTCTGGACGTGGTCCCGAATGAGGTGTACCCTTAGCGGACAGGATGACGAATCGTGCATAACATCTTTGGAAGATTCCCCCTCCGTTAAAAAAAAAAACATTAGACTGCACCACTCCCCATAAAAATCGGTACTGTGCTTCCATTGGAATTATAAAATCGATTATAATTTAAGACTTCCACGAAAATATTTCGGAAAAATATTAAGATTTACGAGAGCTGGAGCAATTTGCAAATGCCCCCAAAAATTTAGTTTTTTATGAATCAATAAAAAATAGTTTAAACAATTTTTTTGAAAAAAAATCCCCTCAAATAACAAAACGGTTTAAGCTTAAAAAATCTGCATCACAATATTTAAAAAAAATTTTAAATTTTCAGCGGAAAAATTAGATTTTTGATGCTGTTTTCTAACTGTTTTCAAAGATTGGTAGGATCAACGAGCGTCATTCCAATTTGAATTGAAATGTGTTGGTATTTGAAAAAAAAAATAAAAAATTGACTTGAATGAGTTTTTTGCACAGAAATAAAAAAGTGGGAAAATACCTTTCTACTGAGACCCCATAAGTCTAAATCAGAATAGTTTTGGCCCAGTACTTCAAGTTTTTCGCAAATCAATCTTTGAAAAAGGTTAAATAACGGCATCAAAAGTCCGTTAGAAATATTTTTAAATATTTTTATGCAGATTTTTTAAGTTTAATCTGTTTTGTCGTCTGGGGGGATTTTTTTCAAAAAGTTCCTTAGGAAACTAATTTTATTCATAAAAAACTCCATTTTTGGAGGTATTTTCAAATCGGTCCAGCTCACGTAAATCTTAATATTTTTTCGAAATATGTTGGTGGACGTCTTCAAATATAATAACTTTTGTATTCCCGGCGGAAAAACCGCAAGTTTTTTAGGTGATGCAGTCTAATGTACATATGAATATCACTGCAACTCTCTTTTGTTGCTGTCCGAAGTATGTTGGAAACGGAATGACTGCTGGACTGCGGACAATACTTGGCACCTATTTTTGTTTAAGGGCCATTCCATGTTCCTTCAGTTGTTTACTTTTTCGAGTTTCTAATTGTCTCAAAATTTTCGCTATTGTAAGTTGTGCGGATTTTTAAACTTATATACATATTTATGTACATATGAGCCGTTCGGTGCATACATTAACTCCACTTTTTGAAAAATCATAAATTTTAGTGTGAAAGCACTTGGTAGATATAGTCATAAGATATTACGTTTATAATAACTTTGTATTACATACAATAGTACATAATATTTGTAACAAAATTATTTATTTGATTTTGTAATAGTTGCGTTCGATAACAAAATTAGCCAACAGCAGCCAACAATCAAAATCAAGAGAGTAAGCGAAAATTCTCTCCAAAAGAGAAGAAAAAGCAAACAAGTAAACGAACAGGAAATTAGCCATCACTTGCAAAAACCGGAAGAAGAAGACACACCAGCTGACTTTGTTTATGTTTTATTTGTAAACAAACTGAAATTCATGTTGCCTCCATGGAAGAAAAAAGGAAAGTGAACGCTCAATGTTCGCCAGGGACATTTCTAGAAGTAAAAACTAGTCACATAGCAGGCAGCCAAAAAGCATATAAATACAAAACTCGAAAAATGCAATTCTGTTTGTTTACAAAAATTGGAACCATATGTTTTGTGATCATATGTTTTCTCGTTGGATAATTTTTGCTGACTAAAATTTTGCCAGTACAAAATGAATGCTTCTCTTGCATCAAAATGAACGCTTGCTCTCTCAATTTTTGTGTGTTGGATAATTTTTTGTCGTTATCGAATGCCATCCAGTAAAAATTTGGAAAAACTATTACAAATTTTTGACTTGTCGAACGCAACTAATATAAATGGAATTTTAAAAAATAATGTACATTATTTGATCGCATCTCCCAACTTTTTGTTGATGGAGTTAATCAATTTGTGCACTGAACGGCTCATATATGAATGTTAATGTAATTATGTTTTTTTCAGTCCAGAGAATGATTAAGGTATAACTTAAGCCAGAAACAAAGCCAATGAATAAAAACGCAGTGCACCCAATCTACAACCTACCATACCTTCTACACCGAAGAATAACAGTGGAGGAGCCGCACAAGCGAAACGGTCCCGTACAGTGCACAAATTGTCAAGAATTTGGGCATACCAAAACATACTGTACCTTGCGTCCAGTGTGTTGCCTGTGGTGACCTTCACGCTTCCGCTTCTTGCAAGGCTATCAAAGCTGATGTGGCTGTAAAGAAATACAAAGATTTAGAGTCTCGCATGAATCAGCGCAACACAGCCGTACGCTATTCCACCACTCCAACTAGCTCTTATACATACCAACACCTCACGCCATCAACCATTACACCCGGAGCCTTTTTTTGCCAACGCGCAGCGAGTTCCCAACGTTTCTTTTGCCAACGCATTAAAACCACAAACGCAGCCAANAACCACAAACGCACGGCGAAATCAAACTCCAATGAAGAAACATTTGCAAATATTCAAATTAATAATACTGAGCAAATGCAGCCGAGCCCCCCTACTTGTGGCATAGAAGGAATGATATTGAATCTTACCCATTGTATGACTCAATTCATGTCTACTATGCAAAATATGATTCAAGACCTCATAAAGGAACAAAAACAATTGTTGCAAATTTTAGTGAATTGAAAATTTGCTTATGGAATGCTAACGGTGTAAACCAGCGTAGATTAGAACTCAGTAAATTTCTCTCTGAATATAACATAGATGTTATGCTACTGTCCGAGACACATTAACAAATAAATATAATTTCTCCATACCTGGATACAAATGCTATGCCACAAATCACCCAGATGGTAAAGCTTATGGAGGCACAGCGGTGCTGATTAAAAATCGCTTAAAGCACAGTATTCTAGACTCAAAAGCAACAGCCTGTCTGCAAGCAACTACCATATGCTTACGAAACCACGACCGAGACTTGAATCTATCGGCTATTTATTGCCCGTCGCGATTTTTAATTTCTGAAAATGATTTTAAAGATTTCTTTGATAGCCTGGGGAATAGATTCCTGGCAGGAGGCGACTGCAACGCAAAGCATACATACTGGGGATCACGCCTTATTAACCCAAAAGGGCGGCAGTTATATAATACCATTATAAACAGGCACAATAATACACTAGAGGTCACATCTCCTAGTAAACCTACTTACTGGTCCACCGATATAAAGAAGATACCAGACCTAATAGATTTCGCAATTAAAAGAAACATATACAGAAATAACATAACAGCAGAAACTCTACCTGAACTATCATCCGATCACTCCCTTATATTATTATTGTATTACAACGCAGTACTAGAAGTGGACGTAGAAGCTTTCACGAATATACTAGCTGGAGAAAGGATAAATGTAGGCTGGGAACGGTGCAGAGTGTATGATGCAGTCCAAGTACTTTGTTGTTTTAAATGCAAAGGCTTTCATCATAAGGCCAGTGGCTGTCAAGAAAGGGAAGTGTGCACAAAATGTCTGGGTGAACACAAACATACGCAATGCGATAAGGAACCAATCAAGAAATGTATCAACTGTATAAGGGCAAATAAGGAACTGAATCTTGGGCTTAATGACAACCATGATACTATGGATAGAGCATGTCCTGTATATCAGCAAAAATTATCCGCAAGGAAAAAAAAGATTGTTTATTAGCAATCAAAGCATAAAAAGTACAAAAATCGAAGTAGGGGGCTGCATAGCTTAGAATGTATATATCTATATATCTCAATATTTGTAGTATAACAGCAAACAAAACTGAACTGGAGAGGCTTGTCGAAATAAGAAAACCAAACATTGTACTATGCGCAGAAACATGCACAACTGATCTTATAATGGATACAGAATTAAATATTCCTACATACAAATGTATTCGTTGTGATTCCCATAGTAGACATACGGGTGGTGTTTTGATGTATGTTCATGAAAATTTAGAGTTTAGCATAGCCTGCAATTTAACCATTAACATGAATATATGGTGCATTATTATAAATATAAAAAAATGTGCGTTAAAATGGCAAATCGG